TTTAGAACATGCTCGTATTTTAGGTTAAATGACTATCTACTTCCGGCTTATTCCATTAAAGTTACTATGAATAAAAAGTGAACAAAATCACGTGATTGGAGAGTTAAAGCTTCTGGCACCATAGAAATAGAACTTTAAGAAACTCACACAAATGCAATCTCATAGTACAGGAATCAAACCCACATATTACAGAGAATAGATCAGAACTAGTCAAAGATATTTTAGCCCAAAAAGAATACGGAGCACTTGACTATGGTCTAAATGAACTTATCGAGGAAAAATTTCAAACAAATATAAAAACAACAACACAAGCAAGTACTAAAAAACTTAAACAACATAAAGATACAGATAAACCTCCCTAAGTGCACGCTCTTAGGACCAGGTATGGGTGTGTATTTAGAGAGGGTGTGCATTTAGAGATTTTTATACAAAGTTGTCACGTGATAGTAGTCCAATTAAATTATACTATTGCAATTAAGCCTTTTTATTATTTTTGTATAATACTTTTAGTAAAACACTACATTGTACAAGCATTATATACTAATTTTTATAAAAATAGTAATATTTGATATAATAATTATTTGTCAATTTAAAATGAAAGCTTCTTGTATTAGCTTTTTTATTTATTTAAACGGTTCTGGTCCTGTGACACCAGGAGAAAGAGTCATAATTCTGTCATTTTAACAATTGTCAAATTTTATCTTTAAATTTTATATTACTCTAAAAATATTGTAATGATAAACTTTAAATATTTTATCAGAATAAATCATATCTGATTTTTTTGAATAACAATATCTGATTCTTTTGAATACCCATATCCGATCCTTTGAATAACCTATATCCGATTCTTTGAATAACCTATATCTGATTCTTTTAAATGACCTATTTTAGTATCTTTTCTACTGAAGTAATTTAGTTTAATTTTTTTTTTTTTTTCTCCTTTTTTGCTAATTTTTTTAGCTCATTTCATTTCAGCAATAATATTCAGGGTTATAAACGTCAGATGAAAGCTAATCCCTATAAATTTTTGATAATAAATTAATATGTTAAATTTATTTAATTTGGTAAGCTTTAATAATAAGTATATTCTTACTCGTCAATACTAGTTTTATTATTTTGTTTAAAATATTGATCTATTTGTGATTGTTTCATTGCGTCCACTTTTTTTCTTTAATCACTTTTTTGACTTTATCAACTAGCTTTAGCTGCTCACTTGTGTTATCTTGTTGTAGCAGGTACATATAAACGGTCTCCAAACTTTCAAGTGCTAAATCGGCACTAACAATAGGAATCTCAGAACTATCATCCATTTTTTTGGTTTCATCTAAATTTCCATTTTTTTTAAAAAATTTCAACAATCTCTAAAATAATACAATTATCATCAGGAACTTCATAAACAAAGTTTTCTTTGAGAATAGATAAAAACTCTTCAACCTGCATAGGGTCCAAAAAATGAAGGTTTTCAATAAGTGCAGCAAGATCATCAATTTCAGAATCAATAACTTGACAAATATTTTCAGAAAGGTTTCGTAAATCCACATTAGAGCTTACAGAAAGAATTTTAGTATGTCGCCAGCAATTACGAATAGTCTCAGTACTTACTTCTTCCTAACTCTGAATAGTGTATCAAATAGCTTGTAAGATGTCCATTTTTAAATCTTCTGCATGATTACCTGTCTCTATTTGCTATAACATCCAGAGAATATAATAATAATAATGACAATAGTGCCTTTTAAAACTCATAATTATCCCAGCATCCATCAGTTGAATTTTTGAAGTTGTCTTTGCAGGTAAAAAATGAATATCTACATATTGTAGATTTAGATAATCAGTTTTATAACTAGAGCACTTGTCTAAAAGCAGAAGTGCATGTTGACCATTATGTTTCAAACCAACTTGGTAATCAAATTCTTTAAGCTAGTCTTGAAAGAACGTTGTGATCATCCAGGTTTTGGTATTATTTTAATATATAAATGGCATGTTTTTGAAACATCTTGGCTTTTGATATTTTCCAATTATTAACAGATTTAGTTTATGTGAGCCATCTGCATTTGCATATAGTGCAACTGAAATATGTTCTCTATTTACTTTACACCTAGCAATACAATAGGTTGCCAAGGTTCGGTCCAGTTCTAAGCAATAAAAAAGCCTAGCTTCATCTATATTGTATATTCTATGAAGTGGATAACTGGCACATTTAGATCTTAACAATGGTAATGCACTGGTAATAGCATCATTGTCTACAGATGCAGCTTCACCTGAAGCTTTACTTGTCAAATACCATTACATTCTTTAAACTTTTGCAGCTAACTGGAAGAAAATTGTAATGTTCCTTCAGGAACTCCTAACCCAGCAGCGAGTAACTTCACTTTTTGAATCAAGATGGCATTACTTAAAATTGTCCTTATTGATAATTCAACATGAACTCCTTTAGTGCAAGCTCAACCTCTGGAACAGTAACAGCTCTATGCTGTTTTTTCACTAGTTTTTAAAATTCTTGAAACCATGCTTTCATCAATTCTGACACCCCATTGTTGTTCTATCCAATCAACATATTTAGCTCGAGTCATTTTATTATCATGAGCATAAATACATAATGCAGCTTTTTGCATATCAGTTAACATAACTTTCTTAGAAGACATTTTTGTTGTGTTTTTTTTTTTGGTATGTATGATTTTTGTACCATTCTTATATCATCATTCTAAAATTAAGCAACCAATTGTTAATATCCAAATGTTCAAAAACCAATCCATATTGAGGATCTTAATGACTTATATCCTTTTGGCTCATTCAAGCTTTTTTAAAGTTCCATATTTAACTCGATTAACTTTTCAATTATCATTATCTTTTATAGTAATTAATCTAACTTATCCAAGTATTAATAATTCATTTTAAATATCCAATTCTAGCTGAAATCACAGTATGCACAATACATAATTTAATTTTTTTTTTTTTTTTTTTTTTTTTTTAAGAATGCCCTAGTAAAAGATTTTAATGAAACTTTAACTTTCTATAACATTATCATTTTATTGCAGTGGGATTATAGCGATAAAAGGTTCAAATCATATTAATTCAACTCTTAGTAGATTTCCATTAAACTTCTAGCAACAAACTGGATGATTCAAAATTAAAAAGAAGGTACGTAACAATGAAACGTTATATGTGAAAATCCTCAATTATGAATGGATGATATCACGTGCATGCATTTATAGAAGGTGCACACATAGGTCCGGAACTCAGAATTTCTTGCACATGCAGAATATGGAGGGTGTGCATTTAAGTTCTAAGTCCCAACATTGAGACCGGACTACAGCATGCATTTAGAGAGGGTGTACACTTAGAGAGGGTGCACTTAGGGAGGTTTATCTGTATATTTAATTTGGTTTGGGCCCAAAAAAGCAAGATTTACTATCACAAACAATCACAAAACCTAGTATATTTTTTTACAATTTGGGATTTACCAAAAAAACTAGTGCATCAACTATCAAATCATATCTTAGGTTCTTTGGCACTGCTTCCATTCTTGCATGGCAACAAAACTTCAGAACTAAGGTAGTATATATTAAGATCCTGCCAAACTCTAAACAGAGAACAAAGTTACTAGAAAAAAGTTGGTCAGTATATTTAGATCAAAGAAAAACATATCATACAACACCTGGAAAATTTGATATTACTGAATTAGAAGAAAGAAATAACTATAAATGTATAATTTCAAATATACCAACAACTGCATATGATAGCCTCCTTTTGCACCAACTCAAAAAATTTAAAGTTTAAGCAGTACACATATTAAAAAAATTGTAATGGAAATCCAAAAAAAGGGGCTCACCTATATTTCAAATCGGAAAAAGATCTCTTATCAGCCCAAAGTTGCAATATTTATTACTTTAACACTAAGCTTGAATGGTACCAAACTTTTTTTTTTTGACTATCCCAGATTGCCTAAGTGGCATGTGGGGCGTGTGTGGCGCTCTTTATTAAATTCTTATATATTAAATATTACTAAAATATTTACAAATTTTTCTATTTACAGAACCCAAACGGGAGTTTATACTTAGAGCTTGAATTTCTTTTCGAATTTGAGCACTAATGATTGAGGGAATTGATGCTTCTACATTATCTGCATTGCCCCATTTGGCATTTGTGTACCAACACCAAATTTCATATATTGTGATTATGTAAATCCATATTGCTGTGTTAAGGTCGCTGAAGTTTTTTGCAGTAAATATTTCCTCCAAAGAGGATGAGATGCTTGGTTTTTGTCTTATGTTGATCAGTTTGTAAGCTTCTGTCCATATCTTCTTGCTGATTCTGCAATCTGTTGCAAAATGTTCAATTGTTTGTTGGTCATTTTCACACCATGGGAAAGCTCTATATGCAAGATGCCAAAAGATATCTCTTTTCTTGTTGTCAACTCCTTTAAGAAGTATTCAGTTCGGTGCTAAGTTTGAAAACAGTGACTAATTAATTTCGCCATATGTTAGGTCCTCTTTAAGTAGTTCGGTTATCTTTTTAACTGTAACTTTGTCTTCTTTAATTCCCCCTAGAAAGAGGTTTTCAAGACTCCAAGGCCAATTTGTATGGGAGAAAACTCTCCCATCCACTTTCTTCTATGCAAGAAGGTAGGATTTCCATTTTGGGGGCCAGGCTTTACTATGTATCGGAGAGCTGGTTAAAGCTTGTCTGATTGAGATGTTTCGTTATCTATATAATATGTTTGCAATTCTTGTCCATTCAACTTTTGCCCAGAATGTATTACCGGAAAGAAGTTTGAGCCAGACCATCAAAGCTCTTGTATCAAGCAGATTGCTTATAATGAGGACTTGGAGCCCTCCTTGTTCATAAGACTGTTGGTAAGTGGAGTATTTAGGGAGCATTCTTGAATTGCCTTTTATCCAAAGTGTAATTAGACCATTTATTTCTGCAATCTGTTTTTTGTTTGGAGGTAGAATATAGGCTATGTACCAAATTCGAGAAAGAACTAAAGAGTTTGCGACCAAAATTTTTCCTTTCTAAGAGCAAGATTGTTCAGTGTATCTTTGAGTTTGTTAATTGTGTCTGTCCATAAATTCTTTTTACATAGGCAATTTGGATAGACCTCATAGCCCAGAAGAATTATAGAGTTATCTTCTTCTGTGATCTTGAATTGGTCAATGTTTGGTAGATTTGCTCTTCGTGTGGTTAAAGGAACCACTTTGGTTTTGTGTTTATTGACTTTTGTGTTTGAGGCTTTTTTATATATGTCAAATAAATTCTGAACTTCTATCCAGTCTGAAAGAGAGCCGATTCCTATAGTTAGGTTATCAGCATAGGCTACTGTTTTAAAGAAGAGGTTGTTCACTGGAATTCTCCGGATTCTATTGTTTATTGATTGAATTAGTGGCTCAAAAGCCAAGACATATAATAAAGAAGAGAGGGGGTCTCCTTGTCGAACACCTCTTTCAACTCTAAATGGTTCTGATAGAGAGCTCTTCTCGAAAATATGCACTATCTGGTTTGTGAAGAGATTATCTATTAGACTTGTGAATTTTATACAGAAGCCCATCTTTGAAAGAACTATTTGTGATTAACTTGGTTAAAAGCTTTTTGTTGGTCTACTAGAAGTAGCCAGTGTTGCTTTGAGATGTCTGATTGGTTTCTCATAGTTGTAAGAATGTCAAGTGCGGCATCTGAAATTGATCTTCTTGTGATGAAACCTTGTTGATGTGATGGAATTAATGTATTGCAGACTCTATTCAATCTAGATGCAATAATCTTCATAAAGATTTTTGCATCACAGTTTACTAGAGAGATAGGTCTCCAATTGTAAGTCTGAGGATTTCTTTGGAATGAGAGTAATTAGATTTTTGTGTCAGGAATTTGGTAAGTTTCCAGAGTTCAGGACCTAATTAAAGATGATTTCTAGAATTGGAGTTATATGTTCCTCTGTTAATTTGTAGAATTCATATGTTAACCCATCAATGCCTGGGGATTTATTATTTGGGAGGTTTATAATCGTGGTTGTTATTTCCTCTTTTGAAATAGCTTGTGTAAGATCAGAGTTTTCTTGATGCGAGATCGTAGGAAGTGTCTCCATGATCAAAGCAGCTGCTTCTAAGTCTATACCCTCATCTTTGCAGATTTCAGTATATTTTTCTTTTATGTATTGTAGTGTTTGATCTTCTTTATTTTGTATATTAGCTCCTGGGATCTCAATTTCTTTCAAAGCAGAGTTACTGCTTTGGGTTTTGAATTGCGAAAAGAAGTATCTGGTAGATTTTTCTCCTTGTTTGACCCAATTGGCTTTTGAGCGAGTCAACCATCTCTCTGCTAGTTGGGAAAGCTCCTCTTGCGTCTGTATGTTAAGATCGTTTATTCTTGATTGCATAGTTGTTTGTTCAGGGTTTGCTGCTAAAGAGTTTTTAAGTTTGGTTATTTTTTTTATTCAGGGTTATTATCTTACTTTTAGGAGCTTTGGGTTTTTTGAAGGCTCTTATAATTGATTGCATGCAAACTTTGTGCCAGTCCCAGTCTGATGTTGAGTTGACAGATTTAATTTCTTCAATGACTTCTTTTTCCAATAATTTGTTTCTAAAAGAGTCTTTATCAAACCTCCAACTGGATGCCTTTTTTTGCTTCATTTTCTAGAATGAGAATACATTTGACTACAGGTGGTCTGAGTTTCCGTAGAGAGTTTCAGTTTTTTGATAGTTCTTATCTATAAAAATATAGTTTAGACGTGTAGCCATCGACTGATTATTTCTTGTATTCTGGTAGAATGTAAGAAAAGGTTTTTTCTCCAAAAGAGATGCAGAGTCCAGCAAGTTGTTTAATAGCCTTTTAAGTTTTAACCTTGATAGATCATTTTGTATATTGGCTTGGCTTATTCTGTTTATGGTTGGGTCTAAATTTGTATTAAAATCTCCTGCAATAATGTTTATCTTGTCTTTGTCAAAAGGAGGAATCCAATTTTCAAAGAAAGCTGTCCTGTCTTTCATGTTCGGTGGAGCATAGACATTTGTGATCTTTAAGAGATGCTTTTTATATAAGATGTCTGCTGTAATAACCCTTCCTTCATGAGAAGTTTGTGGGTTCTGCCAGTATTGCAGTTTTGTCAGTCCAGATTGATTCAAATGGCCATTGTAGTTTCAGTAGGTTGCGGGTATTTTGGTTACTAAGATTCGTTTCTTGAATTACAATTATATCCAGTTTGTATGATTTAATTAATATCAATGTTTTTTGTTGTTTTTCATGGTCATTTATGTTTAGTTTAGCTATAAAAATTTTTGGGCTTTCTGTTATAGGATAAGATAAGATTTGTTTATTGTGAGGTGGCTCTGCGCCTACCTTTGCCATTTTGGTATGGGGTAGATTCTATAATATTCTGATTCGACCTGCTTTTAGTGATTTTTCTATTATTTTTTTTCTTATTAGATACTGTGATAAAGCCTTCATCATCTATATTAGGCAGAGTATTTTCTTTTTCAGTTGTATCAGACTTTTGTAAAGCAAAGGTTCGAGCTAGATCCTCCATTGTTAGCTCATCTCTTGGAGCTTTATTGAGCAAAAGTTGATTTTCAACCTCTTCTTGGATGTAGAAAGATTTTAGCTTGTTATCAGTTTCATCGTTCTTCTTAGTTACCTCTTCTGTATGTTCATCATTGTATCAAGATTAGCTAGATTTTCAGCATTCTCTTTGGGGTTTTCTTCCAAGTTTGGAACAGGAATGTTTTCTTTTGGAAGTTCCTCTTGTACTTCAGTTATTGTTGGTTCTTTCTGCAAAGGTAATACAGGGGTCTTTTGTTGTGGGCTGCTTATTAATCTCTCCTCTTTTGTTTTTCTAACTTCTCTAAATTTACAATAATGATTCCAAAGTCTAAGTGATTCTTGGAGTTGTTCACATTCCTTCTTAATATGACCCTCTTGATCACAGAAGAAGCAAATTTTTGGAGCTGATTTCCATTCTGTAGTGACCTTATTGTCACCAACCTGGGTAAAATGTGAGATTTTACTCTCTAGGTTTGGGTCATCTGTGTTTTCAAAAATAACAATCCATTGGTCTGTTAAATAAGAAGTGCCTTCAATCAAAAGAGGTTTAATAGAGGAGATATCGCCTATGTCTTCAAAAGCCTCTTGGATAAGGTCAGAGATTTGGTTTTTGTCACCAAGTGGCACATTTCTGATTTTGACCGGTAAGAAGAATTTGCGAGCATCTGTTGGAATGTAGCCATAGTAGGTTTTACCTAAAATTATTACTCCATTACTAGCATATTCTTTGAGTAGGTTTTGGTTCGTGAAGATAATTTCTAAATGAGAGCGGACACCTTTTTTAAGATGTTGCTTAGCAGCAATGACTTTGTCTTTAATGTTTTCAAAAAGTGAGAACATTATTTCATTAAAAGAACAATGAATTCTTGAGATATCGATAATCAGAGCATTATCATTCTTGGATTTAATTTGCTCTCTTGGAGAGAATGTCAAAAAGGTAGATTGGCCTCTTTTTAGCTTTGGGAAGAGATTAGACCACTGTTTAAGTGGGCTTTATCCCGAGTGGCTTCTTGTCTTAGTTCATTAGTTAAAACATGTATATATGGGTTCACAGGAGGTTCGGGACTTTTAGATAGTGTTTCCACGTAACTTGATGATGCGGAACTTTCTGGAACCTTTTCAGACATGTGCGTTGCTTTGTTGTTTTGTTTACTCAGTTCCGTTTTTTGTAAAGACATGTTCAAATTCAGCCAAGGGTTCTCTTGAGATACAATATTATCCCAACTTTCCTTGCTAGTAGTTAACCCATGTTTCTTTGTATCTTCAGTGGGGTTTGTGAGCAAAATGCTTGAGTTTGGTTCAGGTTTTGTGAGTTGAAGACCAGAAAAGTCTTTAACCTTGACTTCTTTGTTAGAAGAATCTATAATTTTGTATTTTTTATTTGGTTGTTCTTGAAGTAAAGCTTTTGTGGCCTTTCTTTTTGCTGAAACAAGGGCTTTAGCCCTTGTTATTGTTGAACTGTTTGGGTTTTTACTCCTAGATATATTGGGTATTTTGTCTGTTTAATATTTTACTCTTCCTGCCTTATGTGTACAGGAAAGAGTTACTGTAGATCCTAATGGTACCAAACTTTAGAAGACCTAACTAGGAAAAATACCCTCAACACATTTTATTATAGGAGGAAAGTCAAAAGCACAAACAAAAGCAAAAGATCATTGAATGAAACTGAAACACCAAGAGAAAAAAACCAAGCCAAACGTTCATCTTTCAAATCAAGTAGTAGAACTAGAAACTCTATCTATACTTCTTTTGAAAATAAGGAAAACAGTGGAGATTATAGTAACCTTAGATCTCAAAGCAATACTTGCAAGCCTCTTAGAAATATTGAAAAAGAATTTGCAACTGGATTAACTCAAGATGAAATTATATATGAAAAAAATTAAGCCAAATAATAGAAGCTCTAGTAATCCAAGACTTATTTCTATATTTGTATAAGAAAAACAAGGGGCTTCAGTTTCCAATCGCTCCTAAGGGCACCCCAGTTGTATTAATAAAAACAAACGAGCAAATTGGCTTATCAGGGCAAACTCCACTTAAGATAACCTATAATGCCCTAGATTTTAATCTAAATTTAGCATGTCATAACATTAATAGTCTTAAATCGAACAATTAAAAACTCTTATATTTAATAGATTGGGCTAAAGAGAAAGATATAGATATTTCAGAAATTACAAAAACAAATATAGCAGAAAAGGAAGGCCAATATATACCTCCCCTAGAGAGCTCATTCAAAGGCTATTGGTCAAGTGCAAATATTGATAAGAAAAAAGGCTCTGGAATGGGAGTTCTAATTAGTGAAAAAATTTAGAAAACAATGAATACTTATTGAAATTGTTTTTAATCGTAGACTACTTAAAAATTAATATTCTTATTGTGTATTTGCCCCCTAATGATAAAAAGCAAATCAAGAGGATTCAACAACAAGTCATAAACGTATATATTAACAGACCTAGAAATTCAGAAATAATAATCATAAGAGATTTTAATTATATAACAACACCAGAACTCAATAAACAGAGTCATAGTAGCATATGTGTTCATAAAAAACTTCTGTTGCACAATTGGATGCTTAATTAGAATTTATAAACTCTTTTTGACACTTAAATCCTTTCACACAAGTATAGCCACACGTATTGATCAGATTTGGATCTCAAAAGGCTTAGCAAAATTATTATATAAGGCAGAAATCTGGGATATGGACCTAATTACAGAAAGCAATCACAATTAGAGGTGGGCAAATACGCATTTTGGCTATACTATGCGAATTATGCAAAGATGCACATAATAAGCATGATGTGCATGATGCACGTGATAATTAATATTTATGTAATTAGAATCGATCTTAAGACTAATATTGCGAATATCAAAAAAACTTTATTTAGATTATATTGTACGTATTACATATTGATAGCAATAATTTAATGTTTATTATGTATTAAATACATATTACATACAAGAATAAAAAAAATTTATTCATCTTTACTCTCTACTTTATTATCTGCTTCGCTATTACTTTCAAACTCCTCACTTGTATCTTCGGTTAATATTTCCTCATATGAATCATTTGAGTTATTATCTGTTGAATCTAGCAGTTCAAAATTTTTTTGATAATGTGCTGGCCTATTATTAAATCGTGCTACTGCTTGTGCAATATCTAAAGATTCATGCTGTGAACAAGTTAGTGTAATTGCTATATATATATACTAGCTTAAACAACCATTCATTAGTTAGTTGTACTCTTTTTTTTCTTGAATATATGAGAATGCAGACTAGTTTCATTCAGAAGCTCTGAAGATGATGGAATTAAAAGCACTCTAGTAGCAACTTCACATAATTCAGGTGCTGAAATTTCAAAATTTCCTCTCCACCAAGCAACAGGATTAACATGTTCAACTTTACTCCATGCCAATTGAAGATCAAATATACCTGTTTTTGTTTTGTACTCAGTTAGTTGCTGCCAAATAATATTTGCATTATTTGGATAATACTTTTGAATAAATTGCGATATTAATGCCATACTATTTGTAGTAAGCTTTTTTCTATAATATTTCAGATCTAAGAGATGTGCAAGTGCCATAACAGGATGGTATATTTTTTTCCATCGTTAATTTGATCATTCACTTCTTAAAATAAAATAGTTCAAAATTTCAAATTAATAATATGTATAAGTATATTATCAAATTTAATATAAAAAAATTACTACCTGACTCTAATAGTTCATTATACCAATTGTAAAATAATGCAAGCTGTGGAGTATTTAATTCAAATAAAGAAATCACAACAACTAATCTATCCAAAATTGCTAGAAGACTTTCAATCATTGATTATTTTGTAAATTAATTCAGGTACTTTATCAGATTTATTGTGCACTATTTCCATAATAGTGCTAGTTGGTTTTGTAGAACAGAATTTAGACATGTTGCCAAAGATCCCCATCTTGTTTTGACTGGAAGTTTTAGAGATATTCAATAGCAATTGAAATATGATGTGATCGAAAATACAAAACAATCTCTTTAGTATTTTTTAAAATATTAGCACACCATGGTAATTTTAAAATATCTCCAGTTAAAATATTCAAACTATGTGCAACACAGCCTAGAAAAAAAATTCTAGGATATTTTATTTCTAATAAATGCCATGTCTTTTTCATTACAGAGGCATTATCAGTAATTAAGGCTGAGATTTTTGATATACCAATTTTAACAATCACCCTTTCCAAATCTTCAATAATCATTTCAGCATTTTGCCACATTTCACCAGTTGAATGTGCAGTAAAAAAAATTGTAATTTGTCCAATATTGTTGTATTAAATCAGACCACCTATCGGATATAAAACACTTTTATTAATTAAAAGCTTCAATATCATTTTTAGTTTCATTAAAAATTTGATCTAATAACTTTGTAAAAATTTTTTTCGGCTAGGAAGTCTAAAAGTTGGTTTTGCTTGTTGCCACAAATCTTTAATAGGTTTTATTTCAGATAGTGACAAAAAAAGACCACAGCAAAATACAGATTTTGCAAATACCAATTCAAGAGAATCTTGTTCTCTTTTTGAAATACAATTAACAGCTGATGACGTTGAAGTAGTTGTACTTATAGACGTTTCATTGTCACTTTCTTTATATAAACTTCCAAAATAATTTTTTTTTCTATCAAAGTTACTTTAAAGCATTTTTTTAAATGATAACAGGCTGGTCTAATTGAATCATTAATTTAATGCCCACATTTTTTACATTGTTTCCTTTTTTGCTTATACCCAACCACATGTCCCAACTTGTTAAAATATTCCCATATAGGATCAGGTAATGGCATTTTTAATTCGATACTTGTATTCTAATAATTAATAATAAAAAATTAATTATATAGTATAAGGTTTAATATTGAATAAATAAAATATAGCTTAATTTTAAATAACTATCTTTAATCGCTTCAATTAAGATTACCCAAAATCTTCAAAACAAAAACCATAAAAGAAAAAGTTTGCTAGAGGTTTGTTTTCTTTTGCTTATATATAAAATCGTTACCAAATATAAATATAAGTGTTATATTTAAAGTTAAAGTCAATAAAATAGTTAATAATACCTTTTACTGTAATTGGTTTAATTCTTTTTTTTTTGTGAAAAATCTTTAAACTTTAGTATTGCAAGCAATAAAAAATATATAGGTAAGTGATAAATAATATAGCATAAATAATATAGAGTAAAAATGACTTTAAAATAAATGCCTTTCAATTTTTTAATTTTTTTTTTATCAGAAATCCAAGAATCTAAATTAAAGCCCACAAAATATTGTGTAAGTATATATTAATCTCAACGCTAAAATAAAAAAATAAAGACAATAATAGTAATAAACAATAGTAATGTAAATACCTTTAATTACTTTCAAAAAATTTCTTTTTATATGCAAAATCAAATCAATTTTCCAAATCTTGCAAAATGAATTTAGTCTCCAGACTAGTGTTTCAAATTGTTAGTTGGAAAACTGGATAGTTGACAACTTTTCAACTAACTGGTTAGAAAATTTTTTAATCAACTAATCATTCAATTAATATAATTCCAAGATTGGCTAATATCTGAAAATATCACGTGATATATGTAACTGGTTAGTAAAATTTTAACAATTTGGAACACTACTCCAGACCTTGCAAAAGTGAATTCAGACTCCAGACCTTGCAAAGCAAATTCAGTTTCTGAATCTTGCAAAAGTGAAGGCAAACAGGAAAAAAAATCACAAGCATACGTTATCCAAGTGCAGGCTCTTGAGTTTTATCTTTTGTATATATGGAGGTATTTTTACTTTTCTAACTAGCGCTAATTCTTACTAACACTAGTTCTTACTAACACTAACTCATATTGACTTTTTACATACTTTTCATGATTATCACTATGATTATCATTTTATGTAGTACAAGCACTTAAGTGCATGTGTGATCACATGTATGTATAGCATGATGCGCTTGTTGCCCATCTCTAATCACAATACAATACTAGTAAATTTTAAATACAAAAACAATATGCCAAATCATACCCAAAGTGTTAGGGGAGCACCATTTATTACCTGATTTTTTAGGGTAGGGGGGTCTGAAAATTATCAGGTCCTAATAGTAGATAACTTTTGATTGGCTAAAATTTTTTAAAATTTTTTAAAAAT